ATTTTATGAGGTGGACCCCCCCCTGGTAATTGAGGCAACACCAAAAATATACTACTAGGATCTGATCAAACTAAAAACTTCTACACAGCCAAGAACACAGTAAGTAAAGCAAGCAGACAGCCCTCAGAATGGGAGAAGATACTCGGTTATATTTCTAACAAAGGTCTGATAATTAGAATCCACAGAGAACTCAAACTAAGCAATAAGAAAAGAATAAATAACCCCATTTCTTTATGGGTAAGAGACCTGAACAGAGGCTTCTCTGAGGAGGACAGGCACATGGCCTACAAACACATGAAAAAACTCTCATTATCTTTAATCATCAGAGAATTGCAAATCAAAACCACTTTGAGATATCATCTAACTCCAGTAACATTAGCCCACCTCACGAAATCCCAAACCTACAGATGTTGGTGTTGTGATAACCAAGTCCCCTACCCTTGAAAAAGAAACTTCCTTTGCATCCATTAGTCCCAACCGCCTCCAGGATGGGGAGGAGAACTCTGAGAGGAGGCCTGAAGATAAGGGAGTGTGTAGGGAGGGGGAAGAACTTCAAGGAGAAACTTAAGAAAGAAGGGAAGAGAGGCTTGACGTACCTCCCGCCCCCCTTGTACCACGCAATTCACCCCCACCCAAGGCTAACTGAAATGATTCAGCTTCTGTACCTCTGCCTGCTTGCTGTGACACAGAAATAGGGTATAAAGACCCATTTGATCTGTCATTTGAGGTCACTTGCTTCCTATGGCAACAACCCCTGCGCAGGTACAATAAATTTCTATTAACTAATTACATTTAAGTGGGGTCTGTGTCTCCTTCTCAGCTGTGTGAGTCACAAGAGCATGGATGCGGAGAGAAGGGAACGCTTCTGCACTGCTGGTGGGAATGCAAGCTAATATGTACTTTTTAGAAAGAAGTTTGGAGACTACTCAAGGAACTAAAAGTAGAACTGCCATTCAATCCTGCAATTCCTCCGGTATATAACCAGATGACCAAAAATCATTTTACAACAGAGACATTTGCACCAGAATGTTTATTGCAGCCCAATTCATAACTGCCAAGTCATGGAAGTAGCCCAAGTGCCCATTAACCCATGAATGGATTAACAAATTGCGGTATATATATATATATATATATATATGTATGTATACAACGGAATACTATGCAGCCATAAAAAGGACGGAGACTTTACCTCTTTTATGTTTACCTGGATGGTGCTGGAACATATTCTTCTTAGTAAAGTATCTCAAAATTGGAAGAAAAAGTATCCAATGTACTCAGTACTATTATGAAACCAATATATAATTGCCTACACTTTCATACAAATGATAAAACAATTCGAGTCTGGAAAGAAGGAGGGAAGAGGAGGGAGAGGAGAAGGGAGGGGAAGGTTGGGAGGGGGGAGGTTAGGAGGAGGGAGGGTATTTTGTGGGACCTCATCTAATGTGCACAATGCAAGGGTACCTGTCAAAACTATTAAGACTAGAGTATAAATGCCTTAACACAAAAAATAAGTGAGGTGAAGGTTATATTAACTAGTTTGATGTAAGCATTCCAAATTGTATAGCAAATCAGCACTTTGTACCCGATAAATGCATTAATGTACACAGTTATGATTTAATAAAAAACATATATAGAGAGAGAGAGAAAGAGAGAGAAAGAATAACTATATTAAAACTTTTAAGGGCATGGTGGCTCATACCTATAATCCTAGCACTTGGGAAGGCCAAGGTGGGTAGATTGCCTGAGCCCAGGAGTTGGAGACCAACCTGAGTAACAGTAAGACCCCATCTCTAAAAATCAGCCAGGCTTTGTAGCGGTGCTTGCAGTTGAAGGTACCTGGGAGGCAAAGGCAAGAGGATCACTTAAGCCCAAAGAGTTTGAGGTTGTGTGAGTTATGACACCACGCCACTCCACCAAGGGCAACAAAGTGAGACTCTGTCTCAAAAAAATTTTTTTAAATTATTTAACTGAAATTCAGATTTACCTAGTGTCATATATTTCATTAGCCAAATATGAGGGTCCTATTTGCATACTTTTTCTTTTCTGCCTTCCTCAATTTATCCTTGTGGCCCCTGGGCCTTTGCACCTGGTAGGAGCACCTCATAGGAGCTCAGTAAATTAGAACATTTTTACATTTAAATGGAAAATATCTAGCAAATACAAAAGTAGAGAAAATAATATAGCAAAAGCCGAAGTACCCCTTGCCCTGTCTCAGCAATTGTCAATGTTTTCTTCCCTTAGAGCACCTAGTTGGTAAAATTAAGTTGGTCCCCAGGAAAGACAGGTCCATGTCCAAATCCCTGGATCCTGTTTTTCGAAAAGGAGACTTTGCAAATATAATTAAATTTAGGAAATTTAGGATGAGTTCATCCTGGATTATCAAGGTGGACCCCCAATTCAGTGATAAGTGTGAGGGCTTGGGTTCCCGCAACCTTTGCTGGGATCCCCACTGAGGGGACTTGATAAAAAAAACTCAGACTCAGTTATTTCAGGTAAAATAACCAATGAGAGCCCGAGAGAAGCTGACACTAAGCCAGCAGCATCTCGAGTGCAGCCAGCAAGTACAGCACTGGCCATTCTCCCTTAGGTCTCTTTATTCAATCAAAAATCATGAATCATGTTGACAGCATAAAGCATAAACTTAATTCAAGTTATTCAAAGCAAGGCACTTCAAGCAATCATTAAAAATGAGAAGGGAAAGAAAGGAAGGAAAATCATGGAGGCACACTATGTGATTACAACGTAAACTTTACAAATTGGGGATAAAGTTGTCTAACTCACTTCGGTGATTTCTATCTATGCCAGGGCAGGACTCAGGCCATAGTAATTTTTGATTGCTAGGCACTCTGTTCTCAACCACCAGGTAACAATAGGGCTGTCTGGGGCTCCTGGAAAAACGGATGGGCCCAGGATCCTGGACTGTGGTCAACAGGAACCCCAGAATCTTAGCCCCCAGACATTCTGTGTGGACCACCAGCCTACTGCAGCCCTCAGGGTTTGAGGAACTTGGACTCTGGTCAAGAAGCCCTGCAGAAAGGCCTGGCCTGAACTACACCACACATCTGACTCCCACAGACAACGGGTCCTGATGAGAGAGGGAAGAAAAGACACAGACACTCAGAGGGTGACGTGCTGAAGGCAGACACAGACATCAGAGGGATGGGGCAGAATCCGGGGAAGTCAGGAAAAGCCACGAGCAGGAAGAGGCAGGGAGAGAGTCTGGCCCAGGGCTTGCAGAGGAATGTGGCCCTTCTGACTCCTCCACACCCAATTTCTGGCCCTCAGAAGTTTGAAAGAAAACACTTAGGTTGTTTCAACTCACCTGGAGCAACAACAAACAAAGAAAAACTCATATCTATTTCTTGCTCTACCGGGAGTGTTCTGAAGCAAATTCCAGACACTGAATCACCTTGCCTATAAATAATAGTCATATCTATTGAAAGTTGGGTTTCTTTTCTAAGCATAATCATACTATTCTCTTTTAACATTGAAATTTTATAATTTCTAAATTGCATCAAATACTCAGTGTTCCAATTCAAGGAACAGTCCCCTGAAGGTTTCATTGCTGGAGGTTTATTTTCCTCAGCGTGCAAGCAAGGTGTAGAGGTAGCATCTGAGTGAGGTGAGTAACTGCGCGTGTAGAAAGGGAAGGATGATGACTCAGAGCCCGGCCGAGAGTGTGTGCGTGTTGGGGGGGTGTGGTGTGAGCTCTCCAAGCCCAGACTCGGTGCTTGGCCCTGGAGGTGCACAAGCTGTGCAGCTGTCACATCCGCTGGTGATGCGGCCTGGGGACCCAGCAGGGCCACGACCTACCCCACGAGCTCACAGCAGCCCCGGATGTTATTAGGGGCTTCCAGGGCTCTGTGGAGGGCAGAGGAGAGGCCACGGGTGGGGTGTGAGGTGTGCGTTGGCAGGAAGCTAAGAAGCCCTGTCTTTCTCTGGGGATGACTAGCTGGTGATTAGGGCAGAAGAGGGTGGAGGAC